TTTTTCATACCTCTTTTCCCCCCTGAAGTGGAAGAAACTCGTGAACTGTCCATTTGGTAATCTAAATCAAAGCACACCTTACAGAATCCAATTTACTGTCACGTCTGGCATATATAGACGATTTACTTAAATGTGGTCTTTCCTTCTAACAGACTGACATGAGAAGAAAAGCTAAATTTCCATGCTTCACTTACTCTATTTGACCCAAGCTCACTCACACAGATTGGTATACCGGGCAGCACAATACCTTTGGGATTACATGTAAGATCTGGATGAAGCTGTTTTAAAAGAATTAACTGAGGTCCTACTTTTTGCTTCCTGGCTTTCCAGGCCTGCCCAGCACATCTCTAAAGAAGAAAGAAAGGGGGGAAAAAAGAAAGAAAACACCTTCCAACAAATCCAACTTCAATTTCTTTTTTGGCTTTCCCACGTATCCCACCAAGGTCTGGAAATTTCTTGCCGTCTCACTGCTGTCTCTGCTTCATCTCCGCTTTTAGAAAAAAAAAGAAAAAATCTTTCCCTGTATTTCTCTCATTTCTTCCAGCCTCATCTCAGTGACAGGTCTGTTTGCCTTTCAGTGTTTATATTTTCCTGTTTGTGCTGCACACAAAGGATTTTGGTTTTATTATATATTTATCTGCAACACCGGCTTTACATTTAGGGAACAAAATGTCATCTTTATTATATAATTCAGGTGACCACACCCGAATAGCAGAAAGTCTGGGAACATGGAACCAGTTGTTATTAACTGGATCTAAAAGATGAACATACATGTCAATGTCACACGTTGGTTTGTAGATTACTATTGTTGAAACTAGGACACTCAGACATTCATTTTTAGGTAGTTCAGCACAAACAAAATAATACTAGACTTTTGCTTTCACTTTTCTATGCAGGATACTTGGTTCTACATGAAGGTAACAATATCAACCTTCACCTTTGAAGGAGATACCGTTATCTAAATGTCGATCTGACTGTACTGGCATTTATATTGGCCAGTAAATGAAAATTAAAAAGTAACCAAGGGACTGGAGAAGCACCCATGCAGCACGAGTCTTCATGCCGAGAAGTTTGACCAGCAGAGGGCATTCAGTAACTTTCTTGTTGGCAACAGGAAAGTTGCCACAAACACAACAACCAGCTGACTGGCCAGAATGTAAGCAAGTATATAAACTACAAACAGCAAATGTGCAGTTAGTGGCTGAAATCTGTTTACATTTATATCATCCAATGTTGGATATCAGACTTTTTAAATCAGCAGATATCGGTATCGGCCTAAACAAATAACATCAGTCAGGCTTTACGCTAATACTCAAGAGTAAAGTGCATCAATAACATTTTGCTCTTGGCCTTCATTTTTTTGAAAAATAACCACCCTGTTTATTATACAGTGAAATGTCAACTGTCAAAGTAAAAAGATGAATGTGAACACACCCACCTTTATTTGGCATATAATTTGACTACACGACGCAGCAGAGCTATAGATGACCTCAACATTATTACCTGTACTGTTCAATCACCTCAGGATCCAAAGTTCCACTCAGATATTTGTTTTGTTTTTAGATCTTACGACAGTGATACTACAGATCTAATCATTAACTGAGTATGGTTTGGTACTTTACATTTCTTTCATGCAGTTATTTAAGACAGCACTTTAGATTATAATAGACTATATTGGATTCATTATTTGGTCAGCAGCTGTATAACACAAGTTTATAAAAAATTGAAACACTTTTATAGCCTTGTTCTATTAAGAGTGACGCAAACACAGAGCATGTTTTGTTTCATATTAGTCTTCACGATTCATGATGAAGAACACAAGACGTATCGAGTACATAGTGTCCAGGGTGTAAACAATAAAGTTAAAGATTGTCATGAAGGTGACCACCACCAGCTTATCCCAGGGACAGAAGTGACCACAGTTAGGGGGTCTTTGTTTGTTGTTAGAGAAACTGTAGAGTGGCCAGATCACCATAGCTGTCGTGTACATCACTGCTGCCAAAATGTTATAGACAATCACCACCATGTCGAAGGAGATCGGCAAGTAGGAGGTCAGCTGTGCGAGGGTGAGCAGGATTATGATGATGGAAAAGATAAAACACAAGGAGTACACAGCCACACACCACTGGAGTCCTGAATTACCAGTGTACTGGCTTCTATCCAGGGACACAAAGATGAGACAGGCAATGAAGGTCTCCAGCATCTTCATTATCCCCGGCAGCGTGGAGAGGAACCCCCTGGTTTCCCCACGAGGATAAAGGCGTGTTAAGACCACCTCACCTGCATATGTGGCGAAACAAACCCAGGAGACCACGGAGGCACCGATAGCACGGTGGCAGATTTTGCAAGTGAAAAAAGTGGGGTAGATGATGGAGACGATCAGGCACATGAGGCTCGCAAGCATTGCAAAGGCGGTAGTGAAGTCATCCCAGGCGAAAGGTACTTTGCTGTTGACGGTGGTGAACTCCAGGATGACAATCAGAAACGTGAAGAAGAAGCAGAAGCACCAAGTGAACATGCACCACGCCCAGTAGGAAGATGAACCATCTCCTGCCGCTCCCGCCAGGCTAAAACACATGCAAGTGAGGATAGCTGCCATTATCCGCATGATCCCCACTGGCTGGGTAAGGGATCGGACATCTACATTCACCATGTCTGGACAGGATGAGTGTCTTTGACCTTAAAAAAAAAAGTATTCTTTGGTTTTCCAACTCAGTTTACTGTACTCAGTGTACAGCAAGCCTTTGACTTTGAAACCAGCTTAAATGATAGCAGCTAAAGATGTCCATGAAGGCAAAGACCAGATCAGGTGTGTTCTTTGAAACAGAAACACAAGTGGTGGTGCACATTCACTCAGAGCATCCTGGGCTTATCTGAGCTGTTTATGACCCCTGTTTCACGCCATTGATTGGATACTCATGAGCATTATCATGTTAGCCTCGCAACCCACACTGGACTCTGGTCTTTGGCACAAACCCAGCTCAGTACAGCATAGAGATGGGGTGTGGGTCATATCCTAGAAACAAATGCATTTTTTCCTGTAGTTTTATTGACTTGATTTATTGCTTCTGTGTAGTTAAAAGAGAGCAATTCGGGACATTTTTATGGAATAAAACCAACTTACTTATGTTATTGAGCTTTTAAATTTCAGGCACTGAAGACACTGACCTGAGTTCCCTCCATGGTGCATCCGTGTGAGTGTTAGCATGAAAGCTACAAAAGGTGCTATAGAATGAAGAGCTTGTACGAATGTGTGTGAAAGGTTGGATAAATGAGGGTTAGAATAGATAATAAGTAGTGTTATATAAGTACTATTCCATTTACACTTACACATTGGGCATCATATGATTCATTTCCTTAAACATTCATGGCATGAATATTTAAAATGTAAGAAACCCTTAAACAAACCACAAAACAAAGAAGCAGAGAAAAGTGTACATTTATAAGAATACATTTAAAAGAACACACAATCACTACAGTACTTTAACACACACATTAATTCTGCAGATGCAGAATGTGGATGTGACCCATGTGGTCTCTTCCTCTCCAGTTCTTCCATTTTGTAGCTTTTTCCTTTTTAAAAAAAAAAACCCAACAAAATCTCTCATTACTCACAAAACTACATACTACTACTACAATCACTTTTCATAGTTGTTCCCATTTTTGTATGGGGGTTGCTGATGGGTGAAAGGTTACGCTTCAACCATATATGCTAGTGGTTATCAGTTTTATTACTTATACTCTGATAAGCAAACTGGGCTAACCTTGAGCAACTGCTTTTATGGTTCGAATGGTCCGTTAAAAGAAAACTAAAATGGAAAAGTACTTATCCTGTACTTTCCCTTTAAGTAATAGATTTACTAAGGGAATTTTTTATTTTGTGACACTGAGTGAAGGTGTGCTTCATCTTTAAAAACTTTAAAATATTTATAAAAATAATGTTTTATTAATGTTTGGACAAAATCCTAATTCAATCAGTTTAAACTGTGCACTTGAATACATTTAGCATTTTTCACTGTTTACTGAAAGAATAACCAGAACCATTGTAGACTAATCAAACAGCAAAGTGGTTACTGATTATTATTCCAACTGGCTTTAGAGCTTTGGATTGAATAAATAAACCTAAATAAACCTGTTCTGGCAGTAAACGTCCAATAATTCTTTTCCTGTGAAAACACAAATGAGGAGCAGTTCGACAGCTCAGCTCATCATCAGCAGTTAAATCATTAGGACAAAACAAAGCAGCTTCTTTCTTTAAAAGCTAAAGACTGCCTTTTAAAAAAACTACAACAAGAAAAAACTTTCTTAACTCTGCTCTGTTTTGTTCTCTTTCACTTACTCCATGCCCATAATCGAAAAAAGGGAGTGGAGTTGTTACCTCAAAACCCATAGCTGTGAGTATTGCAGGATATGCACACTTGGACACACCTTTGCAAACATTCTCAAAGGGGAGTTCAGTATTTAACCATGAAACCATGAAAGTGGTATTTATTTAAGTTTTACTTATCATACTTTATTACCAAGGTGCTAAAACAACCACATGGGTATGTAGGCTTGTTCAATAACCTTCAGTAACCACAATGACTGGATTTTAGTGTTCTTTATCAGGGTGAGATTTGTAAGATCCTGCACTGAATGAGTTTCCTACTCAGTCCTTTTACAGGCTCATAAACCTGAATTAAAAAAAAAACTCTGAATCAACCACAGCTACGTTAATGCTTCAAAAAATGCAAAATCGTGTAAAGAAAAAAAAAGCTACTCTAATTAATATGAAATCTGCAGTAAAAGAATGACATAAACCATCATAAAAATAACGATCATACAATCAATCAATCAATCAATCAAAGATAAGTTCAAGCTGACTTTTTGCAACCTATGTTCTGCTGACGAAGAAGACGAGCTTAAACGAGTAAACTGTATCCACTATGTAAGCAATGAGGTTCAAGCAGGTCATCGCAGTAATGACTATGGAAAAATTGTTGCCTATATTGTTCCTAAAGCTGTAAAATGGCCAAATGACCACAGCTGTGAAGTACATCAGCACTGCCAGCACATTGCACACCGTCAAGACTTTGTCGAAGGGCAGAGGGAAGAGAGACAGCAGGCGGCCGATGGTAAAAATGATAACAAGGAGGGCAAAAATGAAGCAGATGGAGTAGACGGCAACACACCACTGGAGCCCCGGGAAGCTAGAGTAAAAGGTGAAGTCCAAGCAGATGAAGATGATGCAGGCCACAAAGGCCTCTAAAACCTTGAGGAGGCCTGGGACTGTGGAAAGGAATCCACTGATCTCACCAGGTTTGGCCCGGGTTAGCCCCACCTCAACGGCGTAGAGGATGAAGGCCAAGCAGGTAGTGACACTGGCACCGATACCTCTGCCGCAGCTAGAGCAGACGAAGAAATATGGATAGATAACAGCTGCTGTGAACATCTGTGTGGAAGAAAGGGTGGAATTTGTTTTACTCAGAGTTCATTTTGACTGATTTCTTGTGTTTCACTCAGTTTAACTAGTTATAGATTATTGATAAAGCTGCAAAAAAAATAAAGCTCTACCATGGGACTTTTAAACTCATCATTTAGGGTGTTGTTGATATGTCTATCTCTAAAAACATAGTTAATCTGCCTCTTATTTTTCATGAAGTGGTTTAATTGTACTTAAAGTAGTTTGAGCCATATGAAACCTTTAAATTTAAGTTCAGCTTAAAACACTTTTATTTTCTTTAGCAAAGTCTCTGTGGCAGTAATCATGAAGAAAGCTGGCTAGTCCTTCATACAACCTGCAGCAATAGCTATAGCAAGAACAGACAAATGACATTAGAGTTTAAAAAATAAAAATCGACACATACCATCAGGGTAGCCAACATGGCAAATGCAGCAGTGAAGTCATCCCAGGAGATGGGCAGTTTTGTATTTAGAGTTGTCAGTTCCAGGAGGAGCACGAGGAACGTGATGCAGAAGCAGAAACACCAGCTGAACATGCACCAGACCCAGAAGGACACAGTAATGTGGCCCAGTGATGCCACCAGGCTGAAGGAGATGCAGGTTAAGACCACTGCCAGTATCCTTAAAATGCCCACCGGCGTTGTGAGTGTCTTGAAGTCCACCGTAGCCATGCTGACGGTAAGCCGTTGGACAGATTACAGCTGGATCTATCGTTAATTTAGCACCTCTTCTATTTTTCTCACTTCAAAATTATTATTATGCTATGTAGAAGCTGTTTGGTTTCTATCTCAGCAGAAATGCTATCGAATGTAACTGAAGGTATGTGGAAACTGCGGCCGCTCCCTCGTTGCCTCCCATCCAAAGCTGCAGAAATGTACGACATTCACATTTGCTTATCACTGTAGAAGGGTTGGTTTATTGACTAAGCTGTTAGGTATAACAGGAACAACACCTGCTGACACAGGACTCAGACTTCTCTATTCACCCTATTGCTCATCCATTACGAATTCTAAATTAGTGGCATGTTCAGGCCTTAACAGCTTAAATCTGTTAAATGTTACAAGAAGCTGAGGAAATGGTCCTTAGCAACATGGTATATTGTTTTAACTACAGATGTAAAGTAGGATTATTTCAAAGAAATATGAATGAGTTGCTTTATATTGTGAAAAAATACTTCTGTTTATCTGAATAATTTAAAAAAAGATCAGAGTTACTGCAAAGAAAACCAACATTCAAGATTTACAGCAAGTGCAGCAAGTAACTATCAGCTGCTGACACAAACAAGCACCTTTGGCAATTCTTGCACAATTGTTAATGCACGACACAAACCTTATTTTTGTGCAACTTATACAAATTATTTAACAGTTTAACGTGGACAGTACTTATAGCCTGTGGATGCAGTCAGTGTTCAGTAATGTTGTTCATCGGTTAGTGAAGTCCCAGCTTGAAGCCTCGAGTTTTGCATCGGCATCTAAGGCTTTGGAAACAGAATGTTATGAATGGTCTGTACCAAAATCAGGAACAGAGGGACAGCACACTACAGTACAAAAAAACCCACCCCCCATAACACATGCAAGTCATTATCTAGCAACACTAAACAGGACCATAAGTCACTGAACAAACATCATGCTGCACCAGAAAAAGAACAGCAAGTAGAGACTGAGACCTCTTTCTACAATTGTGAGATAAATAACCCTTTAATGCCAAATCCCCCCCTCTCCCC